GCTAGGAACTTTCAGGAATCCATCAAAAATAATTCATGATGAATTGGACTTGAAAAAACATGTTAAGCATGTTTATGATTTGTGAAATTCAATTGCTGGGTTCCTGCAATGCATTCAGGCACATGTAGGACTTGTAATTTTCGCATAAGTGGAACCCAGCTAAAATTGGTTTTTGGTGGATTTGGGTTTGAATTTTTACCAACATGAAGCAGTTGGCAAAATCATTGGATTCATTTCTAGTCTCTGAATTAAGCACATCATAAGCTGATGTTTGTTATCACTAAGAAATGTTTAAGATCTTAATAGTTTGAAAAGAGTTGGTGCTCCATGCAAAAGGCCTGCTTCCAAAGACGTAATATTTTAACAAAGGAACTACTTCATCTCTGTGCTAAATATTGTGCTAAGCACAGTAATGTACGGTGAATGCTGGCAAAGAAGCCACCTCTTTAAATCATTCATTTTAAATTTGAAAGTTGTATTTAAGTTTAAATCATGCACTTTGGGCTTCCTAAATTTTACTTTTCTATTAATGAGATATATTTTTCTGCAAGAAGGGCCTACAGAACTCTACAAAATTCTTATTCAAAAGCATTGAGAAATCAACCCCAAATGGCAGATTAAATCTAAGTAATCTCCTGGGTACCAGAATTTGATCTGTTTGATATTTATAACTTGAAATGTTTGTGGCCCATAAACTAATCATATAAACATCAATATCAAAATAACACAGTTCTGCAATACTTCATTTGTAATATAATCCTTTTTTAACCTTAAGTAATGAATTTTATTCCAGCATTCTCTCTTCAGCATATCCAAGCCAGTTTTGTCATTATTTTTTGCTTTTTGATGTTTGCTGTTGAACCTGCTTATGTTTTCAGTATCATTTTAATAAATACTTTTAAAACTTATGCACACCTTCATTATTTTTAATTATCTGCATGCATTCTGAGTTGTTCTTTACTAGGCTTTTCCTAACACAGCAGTTTCTATTACTTTGGGCTAAAACCTCTTAGTACATTTTCCATAAGCTTTCAAACAATTCCAGAACAACTATTTTCCATCAAAATATCCAAAGCCATAAAAATGTGAGGGTTCTTACTTCTGTATCTAGATGCTCCTGATAAGCAATTTTATGGAGGAACTTGTGTGAGTATATGGTCATTTTTATGCAGCAAACTCAAATAGAATGGATGCATTTACATTCAACCAATACATTAAATGTAGCAGTGCTCAAAGTTTAACAAAAGAATCACTTGATAAGTAGAATGGACTCAGAGGAATCAGAGGAAGTCATTTGGATGTCATTCATAAAAATGTATCTTTAGGTATACTAACCCCAAAAAACCCTGTTCTTATAACTGACAAATGATGGTAAAAGACCATCCGAGGAAACAAAAAAAATGAGAAGCAGTTTCTGTAAGCAACGCCAGAATGTTTCCTTCCTGCCTTTCTTACAGGATTAGGCCAGTAATTTCTTTTAACAACTGGTTCTCCGAACTTCTTAGAATGTTAACAACCAGTTCTAGCAAATAGGTGCGAACTGGGAGAATCCCACCCTTTCCTGAAACCTCTTTCCCTGTCCCAGCTTGGGACTGTACAGTTTCTTGACCCAGGACTCCTTTTGAGAATGTTCTGAGTTGGCAAAATCTTGCCCTTTTTCTGCCGCAGGTGCACATTCCATCACACTTAAGATATGCTTCTCATTGGCTAGATCATGCCCAACATTTGCAGGGTGATGATGAAGCTTGTTATTTAAATATAGAATAAATTCACATTCCAGCAACAACAAGACCTGAAATATGAGCAAAGGATGGTCAACACTGAAATGTAACGAGACTTACACAAACTTTTTGCTGACTTGTAGGAAAGTTGAAATGGGACAACTTCATCCTGTTTTCTTTTTTTTAAAAAAAACACCTGGGTATTCCCCTGCTATGTAGCCTATATTCTCTGCTTTTAATTCATTTATTTTCTGGGTGCAAAGTACGAGCAACATCAACCGTATTACCATTTATCACTTAATGGAAAATGTATGGCAAATGTACCTGATGAGGACATTACAGTCCCATAGTAATAAGCCCCAAACAACAGGGAAGTCTTCTGAAGGACAGAGTAAGATGTCACTGAAATCTAGAACATTTGAGGCTACGTTTTCTTTTTTAAAAAATTAGCATAGGAGATAGCTCAACCCCACCCCCAAATCATTGGTCCTTTCCGTTTATCAAAACACATCAGCAATAACGTCTAATCCCCACAAACTTTCTATTTGAAACATTCTGCCTTGTCTTCAGCTGGTGCACCTGCAGCAACATCAGTCAAAAGCTTTGGGGTGAAGCAAAAGATGGTGTGATAGCGCCAGGCAAGGAACCACTTGCAGAGGTGAGATATGTCGATATATGGCTATTTAAAACCAAAGCAGGAAGGATGACAGATCGCTGAACCTCCATACTGTAATGGAATATGTACCATGATAACCACTGCTCAAAACAAACTGTTATACATGGAAATATCAAGCCACATCCTGTTGTGCACTGCAAGCCCTTCTTTCTTCCTTTCATACAGCAAGAATTACAAGTTGACTACAAGTGTAAAAGTGTTTCATATTGTAATATGAAAATAATTTACCCAAGGAAAATAAATTATCATTTCTCTCCTGCCAGAAAATAAAAGATGATTTACTGAATTAGGGGTTTTTTTTTCATGTCAGTTGAGCTGATTGTAAGCACATCCATTTTAGCATCACAATCTAGCCTACAACTTCTTGTCCACCTATACTTTTCAGAACAACCACTCCTAAAATGTCTGTCTTTTACAAAAAAAAAAAAAACCTAACTGATGAGGCCTCCCAGACAGCAGCAGACATCACTTGGATTTCTCATTTTATATAATTATATTACAGTAAAGTAATGTAACTATAAATAAATATGATGATGTCACTGATGGGTTAGAAGGAGAGGAGGAGGGAGAAGGGGGAGGAAATACAAGAAAGGACCTGGGAAATTATGTTAGAAGTAAAACAACTCCAACCACGTTGTTCAAAAATTGTCTTCCTTGTTTCTTTGTTGATAAAATTATCCATATATTGATATTTCACATACAAATATTTCATATATATATAGAATTGGGCATTGTGAGGAGTCAGACGACACAAATCAGCCAATCAAATTCCAGGTGGGTTGCAGAGGGCTATTGTAAAACCTTGATATTACTTGGAAGTGTGTGTATGTGGTTCAGTTTTTTCTGGTTTGAGAAGCCAGGGGTCTTGGGCACCCTTAACCACCACTTCATTGGCCCAAAACTGCAATGCTGAAATGTCAAGATTTTGCCACCTAATATTAGCCATGTGATGTCATTATGAAACATATACTTTTACCCACTTTATTAAAAGGAAGTAAAAGTTGGATATATCAAGAGAGAGATAAAGGTGACTTGAATGCAGTGGGAATGGGAGGGAGGGATGAATTAAATGTGATTTTTTAAAAAAGAAATAATACAGTCAAGTATAAATAAATGCTGAGAGAATGTGGACAGAATACAAAAATGAGTGTTCCAGGTGAAAGAAGAATATTGAAGTGCCTCAGTTTTAAGGGCAGGATGAATTAGGACTGAATTGCAGAGAAACCATGTCATTTGCATGAATTTTTAAAAAGGAAGAAATAAAAGTAATGGTGTTATTGCTATTTTCCTTTTCATTACTATTTCTTAATCCTTTTGTACAGCTGTGCAGTTCCTTTCTCAGAAAGAGGATGGGATATATATGTGATTGTACGTGTATAAGTTTCATGAGCAAATACCAAATATAAGGTTCCTCTGCTGTTCCCTTGATCCCTTGAAATGTAGGTCGGTCACCCTCCTCAGAGCTATGCCATGTTTTTGGAAAAGAGGTGGCTCCTGGTGTGTGTGTGTGTGTGTGTGTGAGAGAGAGAGAGAGAGAGAGAGAGAGAACAGAGTGTTATGTTGCTCTAAGTGATAGCAATATCTCACTGCACCATATATCACACTGCAGTATGAATCAATCAAGATCAAAGGGAGGACTCCTCTTGAATGCTGTTTCATATACAGTAAAAGGTGGAGAAGTCCTACTTGGGGCCTCCTCATTGATAGCATTATGAACCAAATAGTAGCCCTATTGGTTCTTGAAACTTCCTAGGGAAAAGCACTCCAGAGCTGCAAGCTTTTCTCCTGAGGAAGCTTCGTACTTGTTTTGATTGTTTTGGGCAAGATGTAACTCAACATTGGTACTAGTTAAACAAGATAGTTTTGAGAGAGAAAGAAAAAAAAGAAGGTGAAGGAAAGAGAGAAAAAGAGATTACTGCACAGATATCAAACATGCTCACTTTTGTCAAAATATTGAAATAATGTTCCCGGTTGCAATGCAAGCTGCACCTGTCTCATATCTATGTGCAACATGACAACACATGTACAAAGAAGGCAGTGCTTATAGAGGTATGCTGCTGCTTATACCACAAGCTTTTTCCTTCAGACACTTCCGTTAACAACAACAATAGCAACAACAAAGTTCAAGATCACCTGAACTGCAGGAAAAAGATCTGGGTTACCAGATTTTATCTATATATAATTATAATGCAGAGATAGATGTTATGTTCCCACCTAATTAATCACCTTTGGTTTTATAACACTTAAATGCCAAATTTTATTGAAAAGCATTAGATAAGTATTTTACTAAAAACTAGAGTTAAAAGAAGAAAACCCTTCAACCTCTCCTTCCACTTGTAAAATGATATTAATCTTAGAAGAATTAGTTTGCAAGATTTGGTCATTTTAGCTTTGATACCACTGGATTTATGAATGAAACGCATCAAACTCAATCCAAATTTTCTGTTAGGAATGATTTTACTAAAAACAGGTAAAGAAATCAAGATTACTGACATGGGCAAAAGTCACCATGAAGCATCTTAAAGCCAATTATGAGAATTTTAAAAGGTCAAAGATGCTTCTATCTTTTGCACTTCAATCTCACCCCATCACATTCAGTAGAATTTGCATGCATCAGATTGTGTGACATCTCTATAATTCTATGGCATCTCCCGGAGGGAAATGAGTCTCGTTGAATTCAATGGAGGCCATGTTCTGGGGTGACAGGTTCATGTTCAATGTAAAGCTGCAATTCTGGGCATATTTCCTTCCATGTAAACATGGTTAAAATTTAAAAAACAACAACAACAGAGAGACATGAAATGCTATGAATGTTCCTACAGAGATAGTAACAAGAACAATAAGATAAGGGTGGGAACAACCAAACCTTTTTTTATTTTTTAAAAAAAGAATCAGAATGCCACTTGGGACTTTAAAGGCAAGAATCATTCTTCTTCTCTGTCCAGCATTCATTCAACTCAGATGTGATGTTCCCAGGTAAAAGGCTTCTGTTGTATCAATTGCCACAGGACTGAAAAAAAAGGAAACAAGGCAACTAATTAATCCTGGATTAAATACCTTCTCTTTTTTATTATTGCCATGGTATAAAAATATGTTGAGACTCTAGAAGGAGTGCAGAGAAGAGCAACAAAGATGATTTGGGGATTGGAGGATAAAATATAAGAAGAATGGTTGCAGGAATTGGGTATGTCTAGTTTAGTGAAAAGAAGAACTAGGGGTGACATGATAGCAGAGTTCCAATATCTAAGGGGCTGCCACAAGGAAGAGAGGGTCAACCTATTCTCCAAAGTACCTGAAGACAGGACAAGAAGCAATGGATGGGAACTAAGCAAGGAGAAGACTAATCTAGTACTAAGAAGAAATTTCCTGACAGTTAGAACAATTAATCAGTAGAACAAATTGCCTCCAGAAGTTGTGAATGCTCCGACACCAGAGGTTTTTAAGAAGAGATTGGATAACCATTTGCCTAAAATAGTATAGAGTTTAAGCAGGGGGTTGAACTAGTAGAAGATCTCCAAGGTCCAATATAATCTTGTTAGGCTGTTACTGCGTTATCTCTTGACACCAGAGCAACTATTAATGGCCCAGGGGCACATTTCATACATGACTTCTCTTTGATTAAAGAGCCCAGATGCAGACTACAGAATTCCCATAGTGAAAGGGAAAATGTTGGAAGAAACTGGACAGACTGTCTTTTCTTACATAATGAGTCCTCTCCTCCAATTCAGTCCCAACTTCTAGCAGATCTTGGATAGTTGATTCCATAAATGTGTTTAAGCTAGAAGAACTTTACTTTTCAATATCCATTCTGAACATGATTTAGATTATAATAGCATATAGTTTGGATTTACTTTCCAGAGCTACTTATACAACCTTGTATATCAGTGATACACAAAGATATTTGTTAGAAATGTCTTTTGCCTATAGGGAACCATATCAGAGTCTGGTGGAACCAATTGATTATAACTATCATAAATAACAGTTCATTTCTGAAATGTTAGACTAGAACCCTGATAATACTCCCTGCATCCAGTGAAATGGATTGGAGGCCATAACATTTTAAGCAATAATAAATTGGATAGATTTCAAGAGCCAGTTTGATGTAGTTGTTAAGGCATCAGGCTAGAAACTGGGAGTTGGCAAGGAGGCAAGGGCAAACCAGGACTTGACAGACAACAGCCAAAGTTCTGAAGATGTCCAAAAGCCTGCCTAAGCAGACCATGACTATGGTGAAATAAATTTTCCCTCTTTGTGTTAGTCATCCAAGATTTGGGTTCTTTATGGATGCTATTGTCCAGATTGCCATGAGGGAATTGGGTCGTATATCCATTGTCTCATTTAGATTACTCTAATTAAGGATTTTTCCTCCCATCCCTTTCACCTAACCATGTTAAAAGCTCACATAGCAGCTTTGTTTTTACTGCTATGCCCCCATGATTTGCCTTCATATCCTCCTCAGCACAAATGAGTAAAGCAAACACCCTCTTAACCTCCATCCAAAGTCAGGTTATACTCAGTTACCAGGGAGGAAAATCAAGGGACTGACAATAATTGGGAACTGAGGCAGAATCGAGATTGGCAATCATGTTCTGGCACTTCAAGGGTAGGTGAGAGGAACATTTTAACGCAGTTGAAGGGAAAGATTGTAGGAGTCTACAAACAATGGACAGGGATATTGTTAAGGACAGGATAACAAATACAATGCATTTTTGTCAGGAACTAGATAAACCTGGATATAAAGAACACACATGGCACATTACCTTTTTTCTTATTTTCAAATACATTATAAATGCCCCATACAAGGCACTCTTGAAAATGAGAAGAATATACACCAGTTTTCCAAGATTGGCTTGTCTGAGATATGATTCTAAATGTGAAGGAAAAATAGGAAAAAATAACAATATGAGAAGTGTGTATATGTGTGTATATATGTATACATACATACATACATACACACACACACATACACACACATGCAATATATTTAAATGCTTAGTATTGGAATATTACCTTTTTTTTAAAGAGAGAGGGAAAAAAATCATTTGAGGAAGATATTCTGTGGGCAGAAGCTGTAGGGAAGGACCAAAACTTTCCTTCTCCCAGGTTTTTTTTTTTAAGGTGTGTGTGGGGGTGAATTGTTTTGATTTGCTTTTATTGAATTGACAGCCTGTCATCTCACTCTTGTCCCCACCTTTCCAAACCCTATGTTTTTCTTGTGCAAACACACAACTGGAACCAAGAAGAGGAAAAGTGATTGCATATCTGGTCTAATGGGCACTCTCTTTGCTTCTGTTTTAAAATGTGAGAGAATTTGCTTGTTGGCTTTTTTTTAAAGCAAACTGTTTAAAGGAAATAAACCATTGCTGTTGCTTCTCCTATCATCATCCCAAATAGTAGTATTTTGTATTCCATCTGCCCAAGTATGTCAAAATAACTTTTAAAAAAGTAGGCCTGTTGCGGTGTTTTGTTTTTCCTGAAGACAGAAAAATCCTCAGTGATACTGAAATCAGTTCTACAAACAAATGGGTTTAATTTCTCAGATATATTCAAATAATTTGCAAAAATTAAATGTATCTCTCAGGAATGTAACATGTTGAATTTTGCCACACTTCATTCAAAGCTCATTTATACTTAGGAGTCCTGGAGAAAGTTAAAGATTCTGCGTAATATACATTTGGAATCAACAGACTAAACTTGACTTACCATTTGTGGAGGTCTTGCTATCACATTCTAAAAACAGAAGGAGGAAAATCCTCATTAGGTATATTTCATCATCATTGTCATCATTTCTATTACAACTAATAAATCCAACACAAAGAATAAAAAAATAAAAAATGGAGAAAACTTGTGTTCAAGATTATTAGAAATATATAATTTATAAAGTGTGTGTGTTCTATAAATTCTATCAATTTAATATTAGGTAAGTACATTCTAAGATTTAAAGGCAATGTTTCTAAAACAAGGCTCAAAAATCCACTCCTTAAAGACACTGTTCTGATTAGAGGTAACATGTAAATATTTTTAAGAGATAATAAAAATGGAAAAATAGTAAAAGAACTTGGCTAAGTTCTGACATTTTGCCTGGGTCATGGCTGTATCAGAAACTCTTAGACACACATCAGAAAATTATCAAATTTTGCGAATAGACAAATACAGCTGAGAGAGAAAAGGCGAGACGGTTCATTATGAGGGATTGAATCAGTACAAAAAGATTTAGCGTAAGCTATCACATTTGTCTAGGAATTGATCATGAAAATGTTTGCTAATATTTGTACTTTTGTTCAGCAAAATATATTTTAAAATGCTCACAAGGACAGTATATGGACAATTCTAGCAAAGTTCAGAAAAGCCCCAGAAAGTGGAACTTAGTCTTCCTTTCACCCACCTTCTCCAGTTATGGAAGCTTCGTAACTTATGCTTTCGGAAGAATTGTAGAAATCGACTTTGCACTTGAAGTTGTTTTCTGAATTCTGCCACTGGTTCCCAGTGATTCTTAAACGGCTGATCAGTGAATATTTCTTATTTTCGTATTTGGGCTCCTCTGTCTTTATTCCCTCTATTATATCCTTGTTATTTAGGGACCATGTAAGAATGACATGATCTGGATAGAAATCAGTAGCCAAACACACAATTGTAACTTTCCGCTTCTTTTCCAATTCTCTTTTGGATGGAGAAAATATGGTCACAGTTGGGGGTGTGATAATGTGTCCCCTTTCTGGAAGATAAAGCAGCATATAATGAAAAAGATGTAGGTCAAGCTATGGTTGACCTACATATGTCAGCTTGCCAACTGCATCATGAAGTAATATTGCTGGCTCTGTCTTATTTAAGCACAGGCTGTTTCAGAAGAATAAGCTCATTCAGATGTCAGCCATTAAAAGTTGAGAATCAAGAAAGAGAGGCTAAATATCATACATGCACTGACAAATCAATCTTACAGTGATGGCATGTGGAGAATCAGAAGAAAAGTGAAGGAAGGAATTCAGGTATTGTCTCTGTGTCACCTGCAGCCCCAACCGTACAAGCATAATTCAAGCCTTGGTATTCAAATCTATACTCAGAGAATGGTAGAACTTCATGTTTGCTTGTTTGCTTGCTTGTTTGTTTATTGTTTATTTATTTATTTGTATTTTGAGCCAGTTTTGACTCCTGGCAACCATCTGAACAAGTCCCTGCGGTTTTCTTGGCAAGTTTTCAGAAGAAGTGTGTCATTGGCTCCTTCCCAGGGCTGAAAGAGAATGACCCCCAGTTCGCTTTATGCCTAAGCAACGGCTTAAACTCAGGGTATCCCACTTTCTAACCTGATGCCTTAACTATTACAGCAGACCTGGCCTTCTCTGAGTTTATATGCCACCCTTCAAAATGGGGTTTTCCCACAGAGACAAGTATGGGTTTAGTTTTTATAGTTAAGGCAGTTTGATCTGTGGAAGTATCCACACTATCTGTCTGAGATTCTTATTCATCCAGGTCATGGTTGTCCCAAAGATGTTTTCTCAAAAGACAACTGTACTTGTTCTTGTTCTTATTTGAAAAGGTTTTGCTTCTCATCCTAGAATCTTCTTCAGTTCTGATTGAATGTTGGAGAAGTACTTTGGAGGTTTATCTTTAAGAGGCCATGTATCTTAAGATTGAACAGCCCTCTCTCAACAGAGGGAGGGATACAATACCATCTATTTCCTGTTTACAATACAGTCCTTTCAACACTCATTTGCACTATTCAGGTGACCCTGAGGCACAGATAAACCTCCAAGTGGCCTCAACAACTCTCAAAAAGAGTGCTAACAATCAGATGACTGCAAGGAATATAAATCCTTCCATTGCCTACCATTCAGTCAGAACTGAAGAAGCTTCTTGGATGAGAAGCAAAACATCTTCAAGGAAAAACAAAGTCCAGTTGCCTTTTGAAAAAGCATCTTTGGTATATCCACACTATCCCGCCCACATAATTAAATAACACCAGTTTTTAGGACCAGAGAATCAAGGACCATATAATCAAGGACTGGTTCCCTTGCCCTATATGCCTTTATGGCTTTATTGAATAAGGAAGGGTCTAAAGTTTGCAATCTAGGGGTTACAGGTTTCTCCTTACAAAGGGAATACATTTTTGATAGGGACTAGTAGCAGTGAATCTACAGGTAGATAAATCATTTTTGGACACATGAAATCAATCATTACAGGCTGGTTGTTAATTTTCCCTTATAGGATAAGATGCCTAGCTGAGGAAAAGGCTGTCTCAACAAAAAATTTCATTCCAAGTCACAGGAAATAATAACTAAACTTTATTCTGCTTTGGTCAGACCTTACCTTAATTATTACATCCAGTTCTTGGCGCTGCATTACAGACTATCTGAAAACAGTTTCTGAGAATACCAATAAAAATGACCAAGAGTTTTGAAGCTCTTCTGAACTGAGACTGAAAAACTTTAAGAAATGCAAAAGAACTTGACATCCATCATTTAAAACAGCATTTTTTTTTCTGCTGCCTTTCTATATTATAATCTCTTTAGCATCATCCAGGTGTTCAGAGACTAGCATGCTGTATTTCAAGCCTCAGGGAGGACTACAAGCCTCAGATCCAAGGTTATAAAAGTTTTTTAAAAGTCATATTGTCCTACCTTATGAAACATTGCTACTGTAGGATAACTACAATTGCAAACTGGCTCTTGAAATGTATGCCATACAAGTTTCTTATGCCCCTAATTTCAACCTTACCTAGAACAGTAAGCCTGGTTCCTTGACCAAAGTGCAGCTTCTCATTGATACACAATGTGTTTTCCATGTATCATAACAAACATCTCACTCAAAAAGCTTTGTGGTTGTGTTAGAATGGTCCCATTCTCTGACCAAAACTCTGATTTGCAATATTGTTGTTATTTGAAGATAAATGGATTCATCTCTTCACTGGGCATATTGGCTGGAACTAATAGAAACCAGGGTACAAAACACCTGGAAGATACCAGTTTCCTTAGCCCTACACCATATTATCTTGATGGATATGCTAAATAATTGCTTCAGATCTCCTTTATTCTCATAGATCTTACCTAGTACTGTCAGTCTGGTTCCTTGTCCAAAATTGAGTTTGTTAGAGGCACACAACATGTCTGTCCTATAAATGAAACCTTTAGGAACCACTATGTTGAAGGAATGTCTCTTGTTTATTAACTATCCATCCTGTTTCTGAACATTGCCTTGAGTCTAAAAGCAACATCCAAAGCTGAAGAATTGAAATGTACGTTTAGATATTATCTTGATATGTTTACGTTGGAAGTTATGCTTGCTCTTTGCTTCTCTTTATTTATAGATTTTATATAGCATTGATAGATTTTGTCTGAACATTAGAGTTTATCAATGAACAATTGTTTTTTATTGTTAACAGTTGCAGGCATCTGAACCAAAAGCATGCATGTTATAAATTCAATTGTTGAATAAACTAACACCTAGCCAATTTATTGCCATTAATATAATAATTATAAGTATCCCTCACAGTACCAATTACCCTGTATTAGATAATCCTTTCATCTGTTCACATTTTCTATTATCTGACTAATTTGTTTGACTAAAAGAAAAATAATAAGCAATAGATCTACACAATCATAAAAACAGTACTGCGGTGGCCATCAGAAAGAGTCCATGATTCTTGGTATTGAATTCTTATACATTTCATACAACCAAGGAAGATGGTATGAAAGAGATTTCTAGGCTTTTCTGTTTCATCTAGTCACCTCACGTCAATCCCACTATAGTTCACGGTGACAGTCTTAGCATACAAATTATTGATCTGTATTTTACAAGGAGAATCCTTTATATAAGGAGTTCAAAGGAATACATATATTTCCATGTTACTCTCAATTCCCCCCTGTAAGGCAGACTGAGGTGAAATACTACAATCTATCAATGAATCAAAGTCACATTTCTTAAGTCCACTGCATAACCCACCATGCTGTCCCCCTCCTTAATTTTCACATAGGAGTTGCTTCCTAAGATCCTACGTGTTGTGCCTAGTTTCCATAGCAAAGAATCATTCAATCCACATAAGACCCCACAGCATATAACTTACCTAATACAGATACTCGAGTCCCTGGGCCAAAGTTCAGTTCAGAATTTATCCACAGCATGAAATCCTATTACTAAAAAAGATGCTTCAGCTCAGAGAAAAAGTCACCCATGTGCACGAGCAGCAACATTTTCCTCTGGGGAGAAAGCACCTTTTGGCTAAATTGAACTCTGATCCAATTCTTACACTTTTGGGTACAATTGTGTACATATTGTATTTATATCCTTCGAATATTGATGGACATGCGAGGAGGGAGAGCTGAACTGAGAAATTAAATGGGGAATTTTGTACTTAGGAATGGCATGTCCGGGTCAAAGCACGCCACCATTCCTAGTGATCTTCATAGAAACAGTGTGATTTCCTGTAAGGAGCAGCAGGAGAGCATGGAAGTCATCAAGATCAAAAGATCTTATCACAGTGATTAGAGCTATCCTTGACTAATGAGCTGACAGAGACGAGCAGGAAGGCTTCTGGAAAAAAAAAATCCACATGCTGTTCATATTCATCTTTGGCTGTCCATGTTGAACCATTGGTTTATTAAAGTTGACACATTTACAACTTCTCCTTCTCCCTCTCTCCTTTTATTTTCCCCCATCTTTAAGGACTTTGCCTTTTGATCTCTGCCAATATTAGCATGTATAATCTATGCTATCTCCATTTCTACAGCAATACAGAGCCATGTTTTTTCAGCACATTTCTGCCAGTTTCCATTCAATATATTTCTTTACCCCAAGCATTCAGCTTGGTCCCTTCTCCAAAGTAGGTCTGCTTAGTATTGCACAGCTGGCAAGGACATGAAATAAATTCCCCTCTGGATTATCCACAAGGAAGCTGATAGGTTTTTCTTCATCCTATTCTGTCGGTTACAATTAGAAAGCTCTTCCATCAAAGTTAGTTCCTTCTGCCCCTTGGTCTTAGTTTTTCCAATGCAGAAAGAGAAGGTCTAAGGCTCGCTGCTAGAAGGCATAAACTTTTGTTTCCTCTTGATTTGTCACAGATATTTAGTTAAGGAGTACGTTGTTATCTAAGGCCATCTGTTTCCTAAGAATCTTTTTCATGCTTTGAGGCCGAAAGCCAACAAAGCAGAAGTCACAACTGTCATCTGTACGAGCATGAATTTGCTCTTATGTAAAAACTGAAATTATGAAGAGTGGGATGTTTGATTCATAAATGTGTTTGACCATCACTTGTTGACTAAACATCCAGTGTGACTTCTGTGTAATGGGTGTATGTGTGCAGGTATGGGTCATAGCAAGACAGAAACAGGGGATGGACACAAACAGAATATGAAATGGACCGTACCTAATTTTTGATTGAGGGCTGCCCAGAATTGACTGAAAGATGGGTGGCTATGTACATTTTTTAAATCAATAAAATAAATAAATTAAACTTTCTGCTTATTTTTACTAGTCAGCCTCAGTCAAAAGGTTATTTATGTGAAATTTGCTAACAATCTTTCCTCCTGAAACGAATTATAGAAACCCAACAGATTTTCATGGGACTGAAGGAGAGAAAGAGACCTACATATTCTAACATGCATGATAGATTCTTCTCAAGCAATAGATGCTATAATGGTCAAGGAAAGCCAAAAGAGATGTTCATGACAACACATTTTATGAGGAGGGATGAATGTTGGAAGTAATCTGTACTTCACCGATATGTGTTTAGAGTGTCAGTTACATGGGTTTCTTCATTCTAGATAAAGGATTGATCAGACATACATTAACATTTTAAGAAATTCAGTCTTGCTTGTAATAATAAGCTATGGATTTTGTCTTACCAAGTACTGTAAATTGTGTTCCTTTTCCAAAGTGCAACTCAGCATATGTACACAGTGATGAAATCACCACATAAAATAAATGGAAATTCTGGTTGAGGTTTCTCTCTCTCTCTCTCTCTCTCTCCCTCCCTCCCTCCCTCTCCAACTATAGCTTGAATGCACCCTCACATCCCAAATGGCATTCAGTTGACAGTTGACATGCAAAGGAAGAGAAATAGGAAAAAAAAACAACAAGCAAGGCTCTGCTTTGCTCCATTTCAAAGTATCCACATAGAAAAACTAGAACTTTCTAATTATATGCATCCAGGATATTCAATACTTAATTAAAATTAATACTTACGTATAATCTTATCATCAGGGTGGATCTTGGTGATCACTAAAATGTATTTATTTATTTTCTTTTCGAAAACAGTTATCATTTTTAACTTGGGGTGTACAGTTATAAAATGTTAAAGTTTTTCTAAGCAAGCGGAACCACACACTCCCGCTAATCTCATGTATTTAAGGCAAGAAAACCTCACAAAACAATCTTTGATGAACTTACCTAACACTGTCAGTCTAGTTCCCTGGCCAAAGTACAGCAATGTGTTTGACACAGTATTGAAGAGCATTACAAGAATATCCCAGAGAGCTTATCAGCTTGAGACAAATTCACTAGTGTGTGAATCATCTCTCATTAACACACAAGATAAGTGCATAAATGAACAAACTTTTTGGAAAACATTGGGACTTTTTATCTTTTAATGAGGGAAAATGAACTAAGTCAGAGGTCACTGTCAGTTCAGGTTCTCCCTCTGGGTGATTTTTCTTGTCTTCTGTCTCTAGAACCTCATTATTTATTCTCGTAATCTTGACTAATTTCAGCTAAATCTATTGATCTTTTCTCCTTTTTCCTAAGATGAATGTGAAGAAAATATCTGGCAAACCAAAGAGCCACATTCCAGAGGGGCAGCGGTGTTGGTCTGTCGTTCCAAAATTGCAAAAAAAAAAAAAAACAAGGCATTTTAGAGACAAATTGTATCATCTTGGAGCAAAACCTACTTCATAAAATACTTACATTATTAACTGCAAATCATATATACATTCATATAGGCAAGCACAAAATGGCCCCCAAATTAAATTAAATATAAGGGTGACTATGACAAATTTTATATGGTACAATTGCTACTTTTTCTTTTTCATTTCCTGATCTTCTGGTCATTGTGTTTATAAAGTTTTCTTTTATCTCTTTATATATCACTGAGTGTATCTATCATGCCAACCTGGCATAGTTCCAGGCCCTCTAAAGTTTCTGTACAGCGATTTCCTCTTTTCTTCCCCCAAAAATTTGTCTGTTAAAATATACAAAAGAAATGATATAAAAATATAAAAGAGATCCAAATGTATCTGGATTGCCTGGAAAAATTATAAATGAGACAGGAAGGTTATGTATTAAAAATCTCCTCTGGAAACACTATTTGGATAACATGTCTGCTCTTGATGAAGTAGAATCTTCCCTGTGAAAGCCATAGGGGCCATTATTGCATTATATACCTATTTTTTCTGTTTATATTTTAAACAGACCTTGCATGTATCCCTTCTTATCCAACACTATCCCTTGAATCAAGTTTCAAGAAAAAATGTTGTTTGGTCTTTTACGAAATTATTGATTCCTACAGTTATTATTTGTCTCCTAACAAACATGTACACGTATCCAGTGTGGAAATTCAGAATAATGACCAAAGCAGGGTCAAAGACTCACCCCAACCACATCTTAAACATGTTCCACTTGCCACATCTCTGATCCTTCTCATGGAAAGTTTTAATACTTAACTTTCAGTGTTTTGGAAAGGAAATGTGTATTGAGACCAAATATGCTAGTGATATTGAGATAGTCACACTCCTGCTATTGACTTGCCTTCTCTATAGTGGCAAATGTGCAGATCTAACAATCCTCTTCTATGAAATTGAGTCAGAGAAGGAGAAGATGCTATTCCCTAAGAGCCATGGTGGCGCAGTGGTTAGAATGCAGTATTGCAGGCTAACTCTGCCCATAGTCTGGAGTTTGGTCCTGATGATTCAGCCTTCCAACCTTCTGAAGACGGTAAAATGAGGGTCAGGTTATTAGGGGCAATATGCTGACTCTGTAAACGGCTTAGAGAGGGCTGTAAAGCACTGTGAAGCAGTATGTAAGTCTAAGTGCTATTGCTATTTGGCCAACAAGCATTTTTTTAAAGTCCTTTTGAATGGGAAATAGGCTCAGTGCCTTGCTGCTGCTGCTTCTGCTGTTTAGAGACTAATTATTCACTAGCACATATTGTCCAAA